ACAAGTATTCAATTGCAATTGGACATTTAATCAATCAAACTTATATGTAAGTGGAATTAGAAAATGTTGGATAAAGAATTGTGCATTAAATAATCAATGGTTTTTTTAAAAATAATACTAGTATTTGGTCATGTGCATTTGCACAGATATAAAACACGTTTTTGTTTGTATTTATTAATTAGACATGTACTTCTATCATATAAAAATTATTACTTTTTCTTAAGTTATTTTTATCATTCAAAATTAATTGAGATTTAAATTTTATTTTAACCATGCAACGTTTACATTAGTAGCACGAATAAAATAATTTATATATTTGTAGCATATATTAAGAAATTAACATAAATAAAAAAAAATTGTGTTTTTGATTTTAGAAAAAAAAAATATGTGTCAATCATATTTTTCTTCCAACAATGCAACCAAATATAGCGGTTACAACTCTGAACGTACCAATCAACTTTAAGTTCCAACATTAAAGGTTACACATTTGAATATTTTGCTACCAAATTTAAAATTAATTTAGTAACAAATCTAAAAATAAATAATAAAAATATATATATTAAGGTGTAAATTAGCATATTAGTGAGTAATTAATTAAAAAAATGTAACTCCTTTTGGAGGGAAATGAAAATAGATTTTACTAAATGTTTCATTAAATGCATCAACTAGTAATTATATATATAGATGTAATAATTAATTTTTATGTGAGGAAAGATAATAAAATCATAATGACTAGTAATAAATATGTATATGTATTAATAATAAATAATGGGTAATTGCAATTGGAGATGTATTCAAACTTATATGTAAGTGGAATTAGAAAGTGTTGAATAAATAATTGTACATTAAATAGTCAATTGTTTTTTTTTTAATAGAAAGTAATGTGATTTAAATTGTAATAATTAACTTTTATGTGATAAAAAATAATAAAAAAATAATTTCTAGTCATAAATATGTAAATGAATAAGTATTAAATTATTTAGAGAAGTGGGTAATAATAATCACTTTTTGTTTTAAAAGTATGTTGAAAAAATATGAGTGAATTATGATGAAAATTTAAATTGAACTAAATGAAATATTTTTACTGCACCTGTAAATCACAGTCATTCTACATCCCTAGTAAAACTCTTCTTTCAAGTATTCTGTATTCCCCTTGATATAATCTTATTGTTAAATATGCTTACTAATTAGTATAACATCTACGTGTTACACGAGAATTAATTATAAAAAAAAAAGTATTTTTCAAAAATAAAAAATATATAACAACAAATGTTTGAAATACATCTAAAAATGGTATTTCTTTTTTTAGTTAAAATTAAAATTATAATCGTCACCTTCAAATCTCGCTTGTACGATATTATAATTTTAACTTGTAACATATAATGGATTTGATAAAATAAATTCATTAGTTTTATTATTTTTCAATTAGAATTGATTGGGTATGAATTTTTATAAATAATGGTGGATATATTTATTATATGCGCAATATGGATGTCAAGTAGGCGATCATAAGAAAAATAACGAATATGATATTTTGGTAAGATAATAACCAAAAAAAAAGTGTTATTAAGTTATTAAGTTTTAGAATATATTTACAATTGAAGTTGACAAAGTATTTTGTGATTTTAACATTCTAATATAACATAAATGAATAGAACTTTAAATTTATATGGACATTTCCAATGCAGAATTTGCACATGGTATAACGAATAACCAAAATATTACGTAAGAAAATTAAAGGTTCCAAGTCTAATATATAAGTTTTGTGTGTTACTCATTCTATTGTCAATTGGTTTTAAAATTGAACCTCATTATTTGTATGGGCTCGATGGAGAACTGGGCTTGAGTTGTTGGTCCTAATAATTGGTATTAGAGCCACGGTTAGTAGCTCTGTTGCGATGTGGATGACGCGAAGTGGCATGTTCCTCGTGGAGCCGGTGGATGGTTGGTGTATCTGTATGTCTTGTGTTGAAAGTCTTCCTGGCTAAAAAATAGTCAGGCGGCGTGTTCCATGTGTGATACCTAGCGAAAAAGTAGTCAGGCCTTGGCATGTTCCTCGTGGAGCCGGTGGATGGTTGGTGGATCCGTATGCCTTGTGTCGAAAGTCTTCCTGGCGAAAAGTAGTCCGGCGACGTGTTCCATGTGTGATACCTGGCGAAAAAAGTAGTCAGACCATGGCATGTTCCTCGTGGAGCCGGTGGATGGTTGGTGGATCCATATGCCTTGTGTCGAAAGTCTTCCTGACGAAAAAGTAGTCAGGCAGCATGTTCCATGTGTGATACCTAGCGAAAAAAGTAGTCAGACGGTGTGTTCTGTGTGTGATACCACAATGGAAAAAAAAAAAGATTCCAAGTTCAATCCTCCTAACAAAAAGTGCAAACCAAAATACCAAATGCAACACAAATCACGAATTAGCATTTTTTAATAAATAAACTACCCAATAGGCAACCTAAGAGCATCCCCAATGATGTATAAATTTTTTTTTTTTTTTTTATCTATATATATTTAAAGAGGTTTATGAAAAAATCATTTGTGGAAAGTTAATTAAAACAATGGGTCAAATTCTTTGACTTACTTCTTTTGGTAATCCAATTTAAATTTAATTTTTTAATGACTTTTGCACGTGTTTAATATATCTGATTTTCTAATTTTAAATTATTTATGGTATAAATTACGCATAACCTTTTGCGACATTTCAAATTATTTATGCTATCTATGCAAAATTTGCTTAAAAGTTCCATTTGTAAAGGTATCTATTAACATTTTAAATTGTTTATAAGTTAGAGTTTTGGTTGGTTGGTCGAAAACTTAGTTTGTAAATAAATTTGGCATACCGTGTTCATATGAATTTTATTTGAATAATTAGTAGAGAGATTTTCTTCACAAAAAACGTTTTGCCGTGAACTTTTTCTCTCTTTCTAATTTATAATTGAAATATTATTTATAATCAATTAAAAAAATTAATGTATTGTGTTTTTTTTTCACACATACATTGGACTACTATAATCAAACGAACATCAAATATTCTTTTATAGATATTTCGTCTTTTGTAATTGACATACATAAAATGGCACAAAATAACACAAATGTAATCCGAAATTTTGATTTACATATTATTTGACCAATTATAAATCCACCATCAAATTTAGATACTAATAAATAACGAACTTATTTAATTAAATAATCATATGAACGAATACCGGAACAGGAACTGAATACCGACCTGATTCCATCATTACCGGCTTACATCTCTACAATCGACGTCATCCTCGCACCACCAACTTACCGACCAAAACCGAGGTCACCATAACCAAAGCAGGTGACAAAGCGCCTACGCGAGACTCCCATTCACCGCAAGTTACGTCATCATTCCGGTGGGCCCAACTGTCATAACCGCCACTCTAAAGATACTTTGCATTAAATGTTGTCGTACACGCCTTGAAGTGCAGGCTCGAAAAAGACACTATATATAGGAGATTTTTTCTCTTGTACAAGGATCTATTTTTGGACATTCGATATATAAAATCGCAAAAACAAATTTCACCCTGGTTCACAACAAACCGGGGCCATCGTTTGTGTTTTTTTACATGCTTTACGATTAAATTCTCCACGAATCACCACATTAATGTTGATGATTATGTTGTTATAAATCGCATAACAACAGTTTGGCGCTAGGGGAAGAGCCTCATAAGTTACTTGAGGTTAATCTTCGACGAAGAAATTGCCAGTTGCATCCTGCATATCAAGTTGATATCCGAAAATCATGTCTCAATCCGAACAACGAGACCATAATTCGAGAGATGGCCGAAGTCGTGGTGCCACTCAATCCGCTGGACGAACTAACCCGATACTAGCATGCCAGATTTCGCAACTCTTTTTGAAAATATAGATTTT